GGGATGGGAGAAGGTAAAACTAGTATAAATCTTCAGGCATCTGATGGTTTGGCTAGTTTAACAGGGATTATACACGTGGAAAAGAATGATAAACCAATGAAGAATTTGTAACAAAAATTTAAATCTACAAATAGAGAGAAGATATTTGTAAGACCTAGAAAAATAATCAAAATTAATTTTTATCCGGTGGTATCTTTGGTCAATACAGAGGAAAAACTTCACACAAACCAAAATGAAACAGGAGTAACCTGGAAGGTTCTAATCCTCTGTCTGATGAAACTAACATAGGCAACAAAGAGGCAGAAAATAAAACTATTTCTGGTTCTTCAGACAAGCTCCTAATGCAATGGGGATTAGATGCATATAACTTCAAGATCATATTTGCAAGCAGGAATAAAAGAAATGTAAAGGTAGAGATATTTTCTAGTCTACCTAGTAAAACAGAGATACCATATGCAGAGGAAGTTTAAGAGGAGCCCATGCAAAAAATCCATAAGAACGTTATAAAAGATAGAGCAATCAATTGTAAATCAAGTTACCTTTGAGGTCCAGGGACTCAAGTGAGGTCTTTCCTACAAACACAGAGGATATGATCTTTTAACTAGTACAACAAATAGAATGTCTGCGAGCAAGGATAGGAAGAAAACAGGCGATCATTACTCACAAAAAGTGACACACACACAGGATACCACAAGAATGCCTGTGAGAAAAAAATCCAGTAGAAAGATGTAGTAGTCTACGAAGAAAGAATATGCTTGAGGTTTGGAAGCCAAAATAAGATGCCTGTCATTACTAAAATGCAAGGGTCTAATTATTTGTCCTAATATAGCAGAGAACACATCTTTGGGGAAAGATGGGGAGAAAAGTGCTGATAATCCCTCTAGGAAAATCCAGGTGAGAAAGCAGAAGATAAAGAGGTAGTAGTACATCTGGATCTATTACATTTGAGATTTAGAACAGTCCTAGCTGGGCACCTGAAAAGATTTGATTGTCCGGCATCACAGAGAAAAGCTCCATAGATAATAACAGATAAAAAAAGTTTACAGTCCTTTAGTAGATAAAGAGGAAAAACCACACCTGTGTCAACATGGAAAAGCTACAGAAGTCAGATGCAAAGAGAAAACAAAGGAAGCACGTTGGAAAATACCATTTTACTAAAAGAAGAAACTGTGCAAAAGGTGAAGCCATAACCAGAGAGAGAAGAAAGCACAGCAGAATAACGTGGAGTTCTAAGAGATGTGTTTCTGAGGAAACATCTACTGAAAATCTAAAGCAGGATAAGAACAATCACACAAAAAGGAAATAAGAACAGCAAGATATCAGACAAGATACTCAGCTAAGAAGCTGAAGAGGAGATAAAAATAATACTGTCTGGTTTGGAGACAAACATAAGTATCTCCACCATTGTATAATTTTTGCCATAAAATTAATAAAAGTGGGCTGGATGTGGTGGCTCATGCCTGCAATCCCAGCATTTTCAAAGGCCAAGGTGGGAGGATTTCTTGAGCCCACGAATTTGAGACCAGCCTGGGCAGCATAGTGAGACCTTGTTTCAACGAAAAAAGTTAAAAATTAGCCAGACATGGTTGTGCACTCCTGTACCCAGTGACCAGGAGGCTGAGAAGAGAAGATCACTTGAGCCTGGGAGGTTGAGGCTGCAGTGAGCTGTGATCACACCACTGCACTCCAGTGTGGGTGACAGAGAAAGATATTGTCTCAAAAAAATAAATAAATTTAAAAAGTGAGTTATGTAAATAAAAATGAATAAATAATAAAATTAGGTTCTACATGTAATTAAGTATGACAAAAGTATTGGTTTTACTTGATATTTGGTTATTTTTACAGGCAAAATTTTACAAAGGAATACTGTAACTTTTCTGGTATTACCCATGTGGAAGAAAGAATGGCCTAATTGTTTGTCATTAGCTGTTGCTGATTCATTCCTTGGTTGACAAAATACCTTTCCTTAGTCTACCAGTTATTAGCCTTTTCATCAATGCATGAAAGGAGAATGAAAAAGTAAATAATAAACTACTGAGGTCAGATATGAACTTGCCAAATATTCTATTATTGATCGGTTTAGGAAACTTACACTTTTGAAGAGATGGTTAATACTTGCTGCTCAAAATAAAACTCAACATACATCATTATTTCTCTCAAGCTGAAAACCCAAATTAATTACAATTCATAAAATTTTTAATAAAAGTCAGATCAGAATATTGTATAAATCTAGACATCATATTCATGTTATATGAGTTTCAGCTTTGAATTGTTTCCTTTATTAATTCCACTTGAGAGAAACTGTATACAAAAAGTACAACATTAAGGTACTTAGCATATTGCCTTTCAAATTGTTAACTGAGTCCATTTCCTTAATATTCCCTCTGGCCTTTACAATTGAATCTTGTTTTCCTTATAGAGTACATTTCATGCCCTTTGACATAATTGCCAATGCCATTTTCCATGGTTGAAGCACACTCACGTTTGCAGAATGTGGCAATTAATGGACTCTTAAAACTATCATTCTATCTCAAGAAAACATTTTCCCCTTGGTTAAGATATTGAACACCCATAACATTGCTTCTAAGCAACTGATGATTACACACACACACACACACACTACAGTCATCCCTAGGTATCCATAGAGATTAGTTTTAGGACCCCCTGCAAAGGTCAAAATCAACTCCCTGATATAAAATCGTGTAGTATTTGCATATAACCTATATGTATCCTCCCATATACTTTACATCTCCTCTAGATGACTTATAACACTTAATACAATATAAATGTTATATAGTTGTTATAACGTATTGTTTAATTTGCATTTTTAAAAGCTATATTTCTTAAAAATATTTTCAAAAAATTAAAAAAATATATTTTCTATCTGCAGTTGGTTGCATCTGCAGATGCAGAACCCACAGATACAGGAGAGCCAACTGTATATATACAATATACATATTTACATATCTAACACCTAAATTTAGAAAATCAATCATGTTTTTTTGCATTCCAGATGGATTACAATATGCAGGACCATTATTCCCCTACTCAAGAGAAGTCAGTGAAAATAAAATGTGCTTAAAATGTTTTAGTATTGGAATTACTTTGTAACTGAAAACCAGGAGCAAAAGTTCACTTAGTACTGGAAAACACTGCACGCCTAGGTGGGTTAAGATATATATGCCACAGGCTGGGCATGGTGGCTCACGTCTATAATCCCAGAACTTTGGGAGGACAAGGCAGGCAGATCACTTGAGCCCAGGAGAATGAGACTAACCTGGGCAACATGGCAAAACCCCATCTCTACAAAAAAATACAAAAATTAGCTGGGTGTGGTGGTGTGTACCTATAGTCCCAGCCACGCAGGAGGCTGAGGCAAGAGGATCCCTTGAGCCCAGAAGGTCAAGGCTGCAGTGAGTGGTGATCATGCCACTGCACTTCAGCCTGGGCAACAAAGTGAGCTCTTTTCTCAAAAAAAAAAAAAAAAAAAAAAAAAAAAAAAATATATATATATATATATATATATATATATGTGTGTGTGTATATATATATATACCATAAAATTAGTGTTCCATATTAATTCCATTAATATTTCATGCCATAAGTTAATAGTATATTATTCTACATATAGTTAAAGAACACAATGTTCTATCCTCCACTTTTACTATGGAATATTAAAAAGAAGTAAAATCATCTCTTTGTTTTTTAGGTAACAGGATAACCATTTTCTATATTAATAAACACATGCAATGATATATAATAGGTTCTGTCTATATAATAAATAATTTCCAAGTGAAATCTATAAAGCTTAACACCCAGATACTGCCCTTACTGCTTTAAAAATGTTTCTATCCAGGCAATCCAACGTTATGAACACACAGGTTCTGTGTGTGTTAATATGGTCTATGTGTATGTATTCCCATGAGGCATGTTCATTTATCATTAATAAAATACTGTTTTAAAGAATTTTTTCCACAAAATTATGCCTGAACAAAATTGTCCTTGGTAAATCAATGGATTGCAAGAAAAAAAACCCCACAGTAGAGTCAAACTCATTTCTATTGAACTGAGGGATGTGAATAAAAGCTTGTGGGTTGGGCAGGTAAAAAACAGGTGAAAACTTGTCATTTTAAAATTCAGTAGAACCTCATTGTGTGATTGGTATCAAGTGTAATTACCACTTTATAGACATTCTAGATTTTAGGGAGAGAAATGTTCCATAGTTGATAAAAGAGAAATATACTTGATCCATATTTTTCATAGGATTTTGTTGAATTTCTTTAAGATGTTATGGTAACAACATATAGACTGCTTCATATACTGGCACAGGTATTATTTGGATATCTAGGTTGATGTTGCAGATACAGGTAACATTTGTGAAATGTGAAAAACAGTAACTTCAAAGAATAAATTATTTTTTAAAATACGGCAACTTTCCAGTTTGAATGGTAAGTAGTATTGATAGCCACCTATAACAAAAATATACGGTATTTGAGCAATATTAATATGTGATTATCTATATAATGTAATTAAATTTTGTACCATTCTCAACTGATATAGCCTCAACTCCTGATACTTTTGTCAATTCACAGCTCAAATTGCTTTAAATGACAAATAGACATATTTCATATTTTGATACACTACCATATAGCCATGCGTCTGATAAAATTTGCACAGAGAAAAGATTTTAATGTTTTTGCTATGTTTTAATACACTTCAAATGATTTTTCTTTAGTCACAAGGTCATTAGTTTTTAGAAGTTTAAAGTAAATCATCCTCTTTTATTACAATTCAGACATTTAAAAATTTCTCAGAACTGTCAGACTTTTTCAACCAGCCTTTAAAAGTTTAATCAAATAATTTTCTTCTAATACAAGTCAGATATTTTAAAATTTTTCAGGAGTGGCAGACTTCTTCAATCAGAAGAACAATGTTCTAAAAACATGTATGAGATCCATGTGTGTAATCATTCTTGATATAACAACATTCACCTTTTCCCAAGCAGAGAAACCTTTTGTATTTCCTTCTCCTTTCAGGAGAATGACAAACTGTATTAACACTATTATAAACAATGTGTATATAGTACATAGACAATATGCATATGTACATTACACACAATGTATTAAAATATATTATATTATCTTTTACTTTTAAAGGGCGTGTCACAGAACAGGAAACTGATACAATGACACTTGTTTCTTAAAAGAAGCTGACTGAATCCTTCTGTAGCACATTACTGCACAATTAATGGCTTTAAACAAAAGTTACAAGTCACAAGTTCTTATGTTTTGGATCATGTTGTGGAATGTATTCCAAATGAAAAATGGAGGAGAAAGTGCACAACATCATATGCTTCATGGTATGGCATATACATGTCAATTATTTTTACATATAGTTATGTGATGAATGATACAATTAAGAGCTATACTACATAATGCATACAATTATTATAAAAAGTTATATATTATGCCACAGTACTAAAAATAAAATATATTCTTCTCAAATAGTGAAAATAAGATATCCGTCAATGTTTTTAGGTCACATATGCTTCCTCGTTTGACCATACCTCTGTTTTTCTTTTTTAATGAAATAATTTCATGAATTATTAAACAATAATGACAGAGTATGGGCAATTTCCTGACCATTAATGGCCTACAAAAAGTGATAAGACGATTACCTTGTCATGAATTTGCTGAAATACCCTACTGTTGCATTCAATGCATGATAAAAATATTAGAATAAAAGACAAATAAATATAAATACCTTCTCAGTTATTGAACAATCAAAAGTCCAGTCGAGTGGATACACATGGTTGCTGTGCCCTGAGTAGGTACAGCAACTAACCTTGTATCACAGGTGTTCCCCATAGCCCACTCCCCGCACTCCACCTAATTGTGAAACACCAGCTGTGACTATTTGCTCGATCAGGAAGACACTGAGGGATTTTTTGGGGGTCTGCCGCACAGAAGCGATTCCACCATACCCAAGTGGCGCTCTCCCACACCCACGTGCAGCAGTCCCCGGTCGCAGCTGGTCCTCAACGGCTCCTCGCCCTCTACCCACCCTGGGAGACCGTGACCTGTCCAGGTGGCAGGTAGGGAAAGGAGAGGAACTGCACTCCTTTCTCCTCAGCCCTAAAGAAGACCGCCCTTCTCTCGACGCACCAAAGAGCTCACAAGTTCTCTTTGACTGGGGAAGCAGGCACTTACGAGTGAACCACAATACGAGGCAAGGCAGAGGGCGGGTACATCCTTCGAAGGTGCGCTCGAGGGTCGCCTGCTGCAGCCGCACCCGCCACACGTGCCCCACGTTTCTTTGAACGGAATGAAACGCAGAGAAACATAAGATCCTGGGAGAACGCGAGGGAGACGAGTGACCCCAACCCGGTTGCGGGGTGCCAGGCAGTTAGGCCAGGGTGCCAGATAAGGTCTGAGGCAGTTGGCAGCGGCACCCCGGCCGTTGCGTGCCACCCGTAGCCCCCAGCCCTGCACCAGCCGCCGATCCCCGAGCGCTCAGATAAGGGGGAAGCGGCCCTCGCCGCCGTCGGGCTCCGCGGCGACCCCGCCTCGCGGGCGGCCGAGCACTGACACTGGCAGCACGACCTCCCCGGGGCTGAGCTGCTGCAGCCGCATGGACTCCTCGTAGGTGGGCAGATACTTGACCTCCTCGTAGCTGGGCAGCTGCAGGAAGACCGGCGACACTACACGCAGCTCGTGCTCTGAGGCGCAGGAGGGGTCCAAGCGCCCGCCGCCTCCCCGGCCTCGGCCGCCGCCGCCACTGTCCAGCAGTGAGTCTTGCGAGCCGGCTGCCGCCTCGTCGCGTAGCAGAGCGGGCGAGTCGTCGTCGTCGTCGGGCGGCCCCGCGCCCCCCAGCGGTCCGGCGCCCCCAGGAGGCCCGGGCCGCTGTCCTGGGCGCGCCTGGCCTCGCGGGTACCTGCGTGGACTGGGGCAGATGATGCGCTGCAGGAAATAGCCGATGGCGAAGAGCACCAGCAGGATGAGCAGCCCGGAGAGCTTGCGAACGAACCAGCCCACGTTGTCCAGGAAGGCGTGCAGCGGTAGCTTGCAGCAGCGTACCGCCGTGGCGTTGGTCGCGTCGCAGCAGCGCTCCCGCTCGCCGCACGCCAGCTCCGCGCAGCCCCCGCCGCCCCGCGAGGGCGCCACCAGCGCCAGCGCCAGCAGTAGCAGCAGCGGCAGCAGAGGCGGCGGCGCTGGAGCCACCGACAGGCCCTCGGCCGTGACCCCAGGTCCCCACATGGCCCGCGCAGACCTCGGCTAACGTCCGGGACGGGAGGCTGGGGAGTCCGTCCGCCCGCGCGTCCGTCGGCCCCTCCCCGGCGCTCCTCTCTGGTCCCGCGCGCGCCGCCTCCCGCGCCTCAGCTACCTGCGGCCGGAGCAGTCCTCACTTGGCCACGCTTGGGCGGGAGGAGGAGCCCGCGGCGCGCCTAGGCTGCGGGAGGCGGCTGCTACTCGCGGCCCAAGCAGCTGCCCGAGCTTCTGATCTTAACCTCGCGCGCCCAACCGCCCGGGCCGGGTGCAAGGGGTCCGGAGCCTCCCTAAATGGCAGAGGCAGCCCGCGAGGGGCTGCCGTGGGCATCTTGGCCCCGGCCGTCCGCGTTTTTCCTCCCCCGCCTTGTCGCTCTCTGGGACTAGAAGGGTTAACTCTCTGCTCTCAGCCCAGGAGCCCCTTGATCTTGATTAATTCAGCCTTCGCGCTTAGGCCCGCCAGACGGGCGGGGGCTCTCGTTCGCGTAGGTGTCTCCGTTTTAAGTGATTGGATTTCCCCAGGAATGTTATTTAAATTGACTTGCGACTGGGATTCGCTTACCATCTTTCTTGTGATCTTCCAATTAAAAATAGATGATGACCATTAATGGCCAGTCAGTCCCCTCTGCTGTCCCAGAGTTTGGGGATGGGGGGCGGGGACCGGCGGATAATTCTGCTTGCAGGCAGGTCCAGGGAACTGAGAACTCGCGATTCCCAGGAAACCTCCAGAACAGGTAGAGAATTTCTCATAGAGGGGCAGATCAGGGCACCACAGAGGTAGCCCCAGAGGGACAGGGAAGCACTCTGTCAAGGTGACCTTAGTTAATCAAGGAGAAATGAGGGAAACGTATTTTCCCAGTGGCTCATCCGACAAGCCCCACTGGGTCCGAAGCACAGAGCAAAGATTTGGGTTGCGGGGGTGAAAGGAGGCCCCCGCCTTGAGCATAAATAACATATCCGTGAAATGTCTAAGGAGGTTGCAAGTGATTGGCAACGTTCTTGAGCATTGATTTGCGCCCAAAGGGTCTTTTTCAAGATTATTATTGTTCGCAAAGTTTGACTTTAAAGGAAGTTTGTGCTCCCACTTAACATGGAACAGCGTTTACCTTGCCTTGGTGTCACCATTCTCTGCGGAAGCCCGTTAGCGCACACAGCACACATAAGGGGTGGCAGTTTCCGCGGTCCCTGACTGGCAGGCACATCTACATGGTGCAGTTAGGCTCTACCCCCATGGTGGATAGAGCCACACCACGGGGAAGCCAGGAGATTGCCACTTTTATTAAGGCAGACTGCAGTAGACAATCATTCCCTCACCCCTTAAACACGAGGACCCCTTGAAGAGAAACCAAAGGGAAAATTCCATAGTCACGGAGAGAAAAAAAAAAAAAAAAGTAAAAGCAAAGGAACAATACACAGACAAGATTCAACCGTGGATCAGATAAAAGCAAAGATTTCTCCCTGAGTGAGTCATCGTGTATCTCTGTAACAAAGTGATGATGGAACAAGAAGGTTGGCAATGGTGGTTTGATTGAGACAGGTCATCTCTCAGCCTAAATGAAACATTTTAAATATATGTGCTGGTGTGAACACCTTTCTTTGCCTCACACTCCAAAATGATCCTTTCTACTCAAGAGAAGCTTCTAAGTGTTAGACAAATAATACATAAAGCTTGCTTGAGCACAGGTCCCTTTTTTGCAAGCTCTTCAAAAGCCACATTTCTCTGTTATGATCTCTTTGTAGGGAGGCATATTACCTATTTTGCAAAGGCATATTACCTATTTTGCAGTGGATTTCAAATTGTAAAATAATGGGATGAAAATGATTCATTTTAATACAGCGATTTATTTTATTTTATTTTATTTTTTTAGACAGAGTCTTACTCTGTCACTTGGGCTTGAGTGCAGTGGCACAGTCTCGGCTCACTGCAACCTCTGCCTCCTGGGTTCAAGCGATTCTCCTGCCTCAGCCTCCTGAGCAGCTGGGATTACAGGTGTGCACCACCACACCCAGCAAATTTTTGTATTTTCATTAGAGACAGATTTTCGCTATATTGGCCAGGCTGGTTTTGAACTCCTGACCTCAAGTGATCCATTTGCTTTGGCCTCCTAAAGTGCTGGGAATACAGGCGTTAGTCACCAGACCTGGCCAGAAAATTATATTCTTTCATTCACCCATTCTTTTGCTAAATTTACACTGAACATTTTCTATGTTTAGGGAACTCTGCTAGATGCTCGTTGTAACAGAAAAATACTGACTCCTCCCCAGCGTGGAGTAAACCCAGGCCTGCACTCCCAGCTTCAACTAAATGGAGTAAAGGAGAGATGGCACAGAAGGCAACAAATGGCAGTTTCCTCTTCTATCATGACTTGTTATTACTCTCCCAAAGGAAAAATAAAATTAATGAATTTCAAACAATTTCAGGAATGAAGGCAGTTCATAGCTTGAGATGGGCTTTGAATATGAAATGGAAAAAATATAAACCCTCTTTGGGTTTTGATTATCTGAGTTTTTGGGATTTCTACCAGTAGTAGCAAGAACAGTGACAAAAGTAAAGGGGGTTATACGGCTGATGATACCTTAGAGAAAGTCCCCTGCTTATTATTATTTTGAAATTACTAAGGAGCATTTAAATGGTTTCATTTCTAGCTACCTTTCAATAGTTAGAATTTGCAGAATATTAGGTAGGACATAGTAGAAGAACAACATAGATTGTACATAGCATCATCAATTAAAGACCCTCTATAGAAACTGGCACCTCTTTATTTCTTCTCTGATCTCTCAGTTTCACTTAATTCATTTCTATTTGCAATGTAACTTATTGTGTACAATCTTTCAAAGGAAAGAATAGAAACCTTATAACTTTAAAAGCCCCAGGAAAGACACAATCTTCATTACTCAGCATCCTTATTATTTTCTTCAGATTCAACACACACATAAATGGGGTAGATTGAGCTGCCCGAAAGTCAAATTCAAGCCATTTAGTGAGGAAGACAGAATTTAATGGTATGTTTCATAGAATGACCACAGTGCAAAAATTAAAACCTCATTTTGTTAAAAAAAAAGTTGCACAAAATGTGTTAAGTGAGAACAAGAGAGAGCGAGAGGAAAAAACCCAACATGTGGTGGGAGGAGACTCACCTTTTTCCAAAAAGCATGGTCTTGATAAAGATTAAGAACTTAAACTTCGTTACCATACTGTAGAGCTTGAATGATAGTTTTTGAACATTTTCTCTTCCTGATTTATTTGCATTCACACCAAAGAATGCCAAATTAGCCATACTTTTCAACTTTCTAGAACAGAAGAAGGTAAACAGCACAGCAAAACTGGCTGCTATTTTACCTGTGTCTCTGGGAGCTGTCTTGATAGCTTGAGAAAGACTTAGTGGCTCCATCATGCAACCTTCTGTTCTAACACATGACACAGGCCCAGAAGGAAGTTTTTCTCTGATGTCTGCTGACTGTGGTTTGTGTCTTCAAGCCTGAGAAGTGATGGCTCTGCCCTTTTCATGTCCCTTCTTTGAAACGTCTAGGCGTGGGTAGTTGGGACCTTGTAAACTGTCTAGTCCTTAAGGATTCCTTATTCAGGATGTGCAATACCTGAATACTACCTTAGTACTAAATTATTATAATTGATTTCTTAACTTCCTCATTGTATGATTTCCCTCCACTTGCACATGTGTTCCCTGAGCAACAGTAAATTAAGAGTTTTATTGTAAATAGCATATGTTTGCATGAATATACCTACCTAGAAATGATGTAAGATCTGAGATAATCTGCTTTGGAGCTCTTTCCAGATCGTATTTCTTTCATCACTCATTCAATGAATATTTAACGAGGGCCCACTTTGAGCCAGGCATTCTGCTCCACTTTGAGGATACTATGAAATCAAACCGTTCTTTGTCCTCAGGGAGCTTATTAGGGGAGGGGGAAAAGAGCAACAGTCAAACAGTCAAAATAATGAACTGATCATTCCAATGATCAATGCACACACTGGAGGAGTGCAGGATGCTCTGAGTTTTTGCACTGGACATGATCTGGATTGGGTTAGGACAGTGGTGTTGGCTGGAAAGATGTCCCTAAGAAAGACCTCCTTAAAAAGGATAACAAGGGGAAGCAGAAAGGGGTCCTCTGGGCAGAGAAATCATTATGGACATGAGTCTCTGAGGTAAGAAGACACTTCACATGTCATCTCTTATGGTTGAGGCAAAACTTGTATAATTTCTATCCCAACAATTTTGACTCTGCTCCTAGATTAGCTTTATGAAGAGTCAAGCCGCCTCTGCTGCCATCCAACTTTAAACTGAACCTGATTCTCTGCAGTGGTCTAACAGGCTGTGTGGTTGTACTTATCTGTGTATTTGGTCCTGCCCGGTTTCCCCTTGGAGACCAGGAAAGTTCTAGTGAAATTTCTTGTTCTTTCCACCTCCACATCCCTGACTCGGAGTGGAGTTCAGATTTCCCCTTTCAACTTTATGAGCTGGTAGCTGGCTGACAAAAGGCTTCTGCTAGTCAAATGCTTGAAGTAGGAGAAAAGTCCACGTGGAATGCTTTGTATCTTTTGTCCAAATTAGGAGCAAAAGGAAATAGCTTTCTCGCAAGCTTGAAGTTAGAAACAAAAGGTTGAGTAATTCCAGGCCTTTATAAAAATAATATCTACGTTTATATTTGGACTTTTAGCTTTTCAGAGAACTTCCACATGCATTGTTTTTTTTTTTCCTCCTTACTACATTTCTGTGAGATGGGTTGAAGTTATTATTATCCCTTTTTACCAATGAAGATAGGCTAAAACAGCAAAATCAAAGGGCAAATTAGTGGTGGTGCTAACACTGGAATCCAAGGCTTATTACTCCAAATCTAGTTAAAAACAGTGGGCTGGCATCTTACTCCCTTCCTGATTTCAGCTGGACAGTCCAAAGGGATCACTGTGGCGGGAATCACCTGATTTCCCTTTGACAACTCCTGATGCATCATGAGGCTAATTCTAAGGAAAAT